TCATCGCTCAAGTTGACGCTGACGGCGATGGGGATGTCAGTTTCGAGGAATTCTGTGATATGATGAGGAACGGGATCGCTATTGCGTAGCCACGTAACCCCTTTGTTTTAGTTGACGATCTAGTAGTATTTCCGTGCTTTTCGTGTGCTTCATTTTCTCTCGCCAATGCGTGCAAGTGAAACCAAGAACCAAAACCTCAAGTGCCGCACGACATCTGCCTGCTCTCTCTTCTCTTGACTACCGGTACTGGCTAGCTAGAGCCACAGACTCGGAATCCACGAGAGGATGTACCACTCTGATCCTTTGCTCCTCTAAGCAACTAAGCAAGGCTCGATCGCCAGCCAGAGTGGACGGATTCGCAATGCCAAAGAAAAAGATGTGGTGTCACCCTAACTGTTACTCTAGCTAGCTAGCTAGTAGAGCCACTTTCTTGGACAGAATCATTCGAATCGAATCCCAGTTTGGCCCGTCGAACACATTCGCACACAGCTTTGAAATAATAGTTGAGGTAAATAATAGCCGGTAAATATTTGACTACGAATAATACCTTTACCAAATCTACCTGAAATTTGACTCCAATGTAGCGGCGTACTGTACGGTGGCACTACGGATAGCGGTCATAGCGGTAGGTTGGTGGGAAGAGTGTATGACTGTCGCAGATGACCGAAGACTTCAAGGCCCTTAAAGCATCCCTTTCTGACAAATGGAAACAGAGAAGGAAACTGGCATGGTACTATTAGTAAGGTTTCAAGGTTTCGAAGTTTCGACATAAAATCTTACGGAAGTACGACTGTACTGTACAGGTACCTGTTACTGGTACCTGTACATACAGTTTTTTAAAGTTGCAACTGCAAAGATTATTATTAACAAAAGGCAAGCTGAGAATCGCATTCCTCTGCAAATTTGGTTTCACTTCTCTCAAACACTGCTCCCGAACACTTCTCCTGAACACTTCCCCCGAACACTTTTAGTGTTGTATTAGTATTGCTTCAGAATTATCAGTGGACTTCCTCTGCAAATTTGGTTTCACTTCTCTCAAACACTGCTCCCGAACACTTCTCCTTAACACTTCCCCTGAACACTTTTAGTGTTGTATTATTATTACTTCAGAATTATCAGTGAACAGTCTTTTAGTATTTTGCAGAGAATTTTCGTTGACAATTTTTGTACCTGCGCACGGCATCGTACCGTACCGTACCGCACCGTACTGCACCATACCGCACCGTACCGCACCGTACGAATTAAAAGCTTCAGAGATCCAGCATTCAAGGAATGCGATATTAATAGTACTAGTACTAGCTAGCTACTGGTACGAGTACAGCTGTAGTGCAGTAGATGCATAATATTATTATGGTCTTTGCCATGATGAATCCCACTTTGGCCAGTAGAACATTCGAAGAAAGCTTTGAAATAATAGTTGAGGTAAATAATCACATTTAGTTGTGTACTGTAGCTATACTGTATACTCCAAATGTTTGAATGAAACTTTGCTTTACCACATCTACCTAATCGCTGATACCCTTTGTGTGTATAACGTATAACTAGTGGTACAAGCAGAGTTGTACGTGGTTTCCCTTCATGATGACCGAAGACTTCACAGCCTTAAGCTTCACTTTCTGACGAAAGGAGATAAGAGAAGGAAAGTGGTAACATCACTTTAATTAAAAATATTATTTGAGTGAAGGCTTGTCCGCTCGTCCGCTCCTCGAGAACTCGAGTTAACATTATTTTTAATTAAAAAAACATCTTGCGTTACGTTCTCAAAGATCCAAAAGTGCTTTTTGAATCTGGAAGCTGCACAACATCCCACAAACCCCAAACCAAAAGCGATTATGACCTCATTCATTCTTTCTTTTGGAGGGACAACATCAATCAAATCATCATCATGAAGGATAAGGAAAAGGCTTTGGAGGAAGCTGCCGATAGCTGCGAAGCTGAAGCTGCCAGGAGCGATGGGGGTGTTGAGAACCGCCCTTCCGAAGCAACCCAAATCCAAGCAGCCGAAATGGATCTCCTGCGAGAGAAACAAAGTGTCTTTCATCAAATTTCAAAAGAGGAGAAAGTCCAAGCAACCAAAGAGGATCCCATGAGAGAGAAGCAGGATGTTTCTATTTCCGAAGGAGAGCTCATTTCCAAGGATGCTGGTAAAAGCAAGCAAGAGGCCAGCAGGGACGGGAATGTCGAGAACCGCCCAACCCAACTCCAAGCAGCCGAAGAAGACCTCTTGCGAGAGAAACGAAGTGTCTTTCATCGACTTTCAAATGGCGGGACAGTGGAAACAACCAAAGAGGATCCCACCAGAGAGAAGCTGGATGTTTCTCTTTCCAAAGTGGAGCTCATTTCAAAGGATCCTGGCAAAAGCAAGCAAGAATCCTTTCCGAAGAATGCCTCAACGGTGCCCAATAGTGACGACGTGGAAGCTATCGAAATCAACAGTGCTGCTCCCAGCGGTGGAGAGGAAGCAGCCCCTCCTCCCGTCTGGAGTGAAACGCCTCAAGCAAGTAGTGAAGTTTGCGCGAGGCCTGGTGCTTTCCATGTCGAGGGATACGCGTCAGAGGAATCCAACGACTATACTTCCGAGGAAAGTTCCGTGGAAGCGGATATCGAGCAAGGACAACCCGAACAACACGTGGAGGCACGGGTTGTCAGTGATGATGACTTGAGAGCTGAGATCGCACAGGAGACTGAAGACGAGGTCCGGAAAAGGATCTTGGACGAAGCCGTTGCTGCGACTTCTGTGTCGAGAGTCGGCAGCAATCGAGGAAAGTGGAAGGTAGCTCTGCTGGCCGTCATCCTTCTGGTTTCGATTGTCTTGATTCTTGTGCTCGCATTGCGCTCCAGCCCGACAGAAGAGGCTGCATCTGTAGAAACCGCTCCGATTTCGTCAGAAGAAGAAAACACGGAAAGCCTTCTTACCAAGGAAACGTTTCTGATTCAGTTGCTGTCATTGGTCAGTAGCAAAGCTTTATTGCTGGATAACTCCACTCATCAGTTTCGGGCATTGCAGTGGATGATGACCAATGACACCATCGCGGAGGGGCTAATCTTCAATAATGGAAGCCTTGAAGAAACCATGTCGAACGAGACCGACGAGAAGCTGACCTCGGCAAATCCCGTCCTGGATTCCTATGCACCCAACAATTTCCTTCTCGCGGAACGTTATGTCCTTGCTCTTTTGTACTTTGCAACCGGGGGAGAGGACTATTGGAATGAACAGCACGACTTTTTGAATACCAATACGTCTGTCTGTGATTGGCCACCTCCTTTGGAAGGAGAGAAAGATGACGCCTTTGGCGTTCGCTGCAACGAAGATAGGAGAGTTACAAAGATCCACTTCCGTAAGTCGAGTTGAGGGACTCTAGTAAACCTTGCCGAGGTGGGCTTTTCCTGACAAGTTCTTTGACCTGTTTCTTTGGTACGAATTAGGTTTCAACGGCTGGCATGGTACAATCCCTTCCGAGCTATCCTCTGTCGCGGTAAGTGAATCATCGACGAGCTGACTGTAGCGTTCTGTGAGCCTTGGGACCTAATGAGTCGTTCGATTCGAAAAGAACTTGGAAATCCTGGACATGGCTGGAATGAGTTTGTACGGGACGCTTCCATCAGAAATTGGACTGGTAAGAAAAGACTTCATGGACTGCAAAAATTGGTTTATTCGACCTTGTCTCAACAACTCGACGACACCTCATTTATCATGGCTTAGTTGTCAAGACTGGAACGGCTGGTCCTGGCTCACAATGAGCTTACTTCAACAATCCCCACATCATTGGAGCAACTGACCAACCTGCAATGGATCTACCTATTTGTAAACATGTTCACAGGCACCATTCCAAGTGAGCTGCCCCAGATAGAGTTGGAAGAATTCTTGCTTGACAACTGCTTATTGACCGGGACGGTTCCGCCGTTCCGGGAAGAAGGGGCGATGCGAAGAATTCAGATACAAGGGAACTCATTTTCTGGAACCATCCCACAACTTGACACCTTGGGCCATCTCTATCAACTCCGGATCCGTGACAACATGCTCACTGGAACCATCCATAGTGGGTTTAGCACGCTGACGAGCTTGAGATATTTTGAAACCCAGAACAACATGCTTTCAGGTGTGTAGATCGAATCAGGGGAGTGGATCAAACACTGCGTTCGAGATGATGAACTCACCTGACGTTGCTCGACCCAACCTGCCTCGCATTGTAGGGGAGCTGCCGCCTGAAATTGCTGGCATGACAAATCTGGAGGAGTTGCTCTTGAGCAACAATCGGTTCATCGGTCAGATTCCGAATCTTGAATACATGGAGCGCCTGGCATGGCTGGACTTGTCGAACAATCGTTTCACAGGTAGCTTCCCAATTCTTCCGGGAAGCATTAGTGACATCGACCTCTCGTTCAACCCCATCACTGGTCAAGTTCCAGAGTGGATCTCAACGTATGACAACTTTATCGGTAAGAACAAGCGAAGTTTTGAGCCATGACAAATTCCTTTGTACACCCCGCGTCTAACACTTTCTTCACACCATGGTTCAGGTGGAGGGTTTATCCGACTATCCCACACAAACCTAACGGGATCACTCGATCCAATCTTTTGTAATCGAAGTGAGCCTCCACCCGCAATGTTGGAAGCGGATTGCACTGTTTCCCCGTTGACGGGCCAGGCTGAGTTGGAATGTTCCTGCTGTACCACGTGTTGTGATGACGAAACCGAGGAATGCCAGATGGACTTGGAATCTCAGTGCGAGGCAAAAGCAGGGCAGTTTGAATTAGAATGGAACGACCCCACGTGCTCCTGCACTCGTGGAGGCACTGATTTGGCTTGTTCGGGCCGACAGTGTGAGAGTTGTTTGAATGACGGGTCCATCTGTGCTTACCCAAAACGCTTTGGCTTCTCATCGCCTGAATTAAACGGTACCATCAACGATGAGAATCTTGAGGAGTTGTACAGATTCTGGCACTGTGAGATGCAATACGTGAAAGGAAGGAACGAGCTTGTGTCTTTTCAGTACGATTCTAGCCCAGAAGAGGAGACATGCATCGTTTCAGTGGACGGCGTCGAGTGCAACAGCTGCAACCCAATGGTGTGTTCCTCTGGATTGGAAACATGGCGAATCGATTGTACAAACATCGAGCAATCGTCTTTCTTCTATCCTTGTGATCCCTCGACCTCGGATGGAGGAGCATTGCTAGCGTCCTTCAGTAAGGACTTTATGGACTCGTCTTGTGGGCCGTGCTGGCATCCACATTGAGATGTACTTCCTTCCCATGGTACTCATACATGTGAGAATGGCAAATCGCGCATCCATTGCAACTAACTATTGTAAAAGCAATTCATTACGTCTATCTCTGGCCCATTGGTAGCCTCCAATTACGAGAAGCCGTAGTGGGATTACCGGTACCGAACAGAGCAGTGCGGCCAGGCAGCTGACTTGTCAGAAAACACTAAAGCTATGCGGACAAAGGCATGGGAAGAAATCTGCACGATATTCTGCCGCCCCACATTTCTCGGAGCTGGCTGGTGATTTTACTCTGCCCTGCTCCTTCGGTGGCCGTGGCCTGGGTTGCTTGTGCAAGGAGCGAAAGCCTCCATCAGCCGACTTGCTTGATCCAGCTGGCGTGCCCGTACTAGTAGGCAACTTGGGCAGGACACATCTTCAAGAGATACATGTATGGTTGAATAGACCGGGTTACTAAGGGGTTTGGGGAGGACTGTCTGTCGAGTGCACACGAGAGGAAATGGAGGGCATCCCGTGGAGTGCGAGGCAGGGAGGCAATGACGGAGCAGGCTGAGAGGAGCAAAAAAGAGGGAGAGAACAAGGGAGAGGAGAATGAACGGAAAGGGCAAGGATTAACCATAGAGGGCCAGGGCGCCACAATCATCCCAGCAATGCCAGGAACTCATAGAAGGTGTTGCGTTTTGCCAAAACGTGTGACTGCACCATACCTGTTGAAAAGGTGTGAACTTGAACGCACAATTTCTCTAATTTAATCAATATCCTTCCAGCTCTACTGTCTAGTAGACTGGCTATTTGTTTCGTTTTCTCTTTCTCTCTCGTTCAGATTGTGA